TTCAGTTTTTCTTATGCTTAATATGTACAAAGTCAAATATATTAATTCAAAGCGTAAATCATTATTTTAAGCCAAACATCCTGAAATTTTATTTGCCTGTATATCTTTCCTTTCTTATTTTATTTTTCATTTTAGTTAGAAGACTATCACATTGGAAAACTTATATGACCATTATATATTATCCAGATATTGGTATATATGAATCTCAGTTTAGGGGTATTCTGTACAAATTAATACTTGGGAAAATATATCAAAATAGGTACCAGACAGCTTATAAGAAAAAATACACACTGAAATCATTATAGTATTAAAAAAAAGTATTGTATCTTAAATCGTATTTTTGTATTGACTTCTATTGTGACACTGGAAATTTTAATTGAAACCTAACATGTGCAAACTAGACTTTCTCTCAGGTGTTTGTAGAGTCTCTCCCAGCCGCTGAGCACACTAAGAAAGAAGAAGGTTGAAGAGCTGAAGAGAAAAGAGAAGAGCACGGCAGCCGGAGTCACAGAGCAGTGGCAGCACCAGTCATGGAAAACACGCCAAGTACACACGCTGCTCCCAGTGGACAGAGGGAGGTAGGAAGGAAACCAGCATTCACCACGTCCCACCTCTGTGTCAAACACTGTACAATGTTCCTCCTATAGGACGTCTCTTCAAAGCCTCAAATCAATCCTGTGAGGTATCCTCCTCACTTTACACGTATGAAACCTGGAGCTCAGAGTGGTGGAAGTATCTTGCCCAACAACACAACAGTGGCCAGTGCAAAGCCAGAATTGGGTCACTGGAATGACCATGCCAAAGCCCACGTTCTTCTTAGGACATCATGTACAAAAAGAAATAATAGCATCAGCCCCGTGAATGCCTACTCGCTCTTCCCATCAAACTCCTTTCTTTCCACTCATTCTCTAGGCTACTCCACAGGGGTTTACTTTCCAAACATTTGTTTTATATTCAAGAAGAGGACTTCAAAATTATTTAGCCCCTGAAAAGTTACCTTAACAGTTCAAAATCCTACCTCTATTAATTTTACTTAATATATATTGAATGTATGACCTAAGTTTTAAATGGTGCTCTATCCAAAGCCCATGCAATGACTTAAAATGTGGTGAAGGCTCCTTTCATGTTTTTTTTTCTTTTCCCCCAGAATAATAGCTATGACACTTAGTTGAACTAATTTAATCATACAGTCAGGGCCACCATTTGTTTATATAACCTATAAAAAAAACCCATTGCCATTGAGTCGGTTCCGACTCATAGCAACCTTGTAGGATAGAGTAGAACTGCCGCATAGAGTTTCCAAGAAGCGGCTGGCGGATTCGAACTGCTGACCTTTTGGTTAGCACCTGTAGCTCTTAATCACTGTGCCACCAGTGCTCCATATAACCTAGAGCACCTATAAAGTTGGAGATAGGGGCAAACGTACTATAAAATAACTCTAAATAGAATGTGGCTCTGCCTTCCCCACAAATGCTGCTTTATTTTTAGAGTATCATGAGTTCCAGGGCTCACTCATTAGCTTTCCTCCTTCTAGGGGAGAGAGGGAATGGGACAGAGAATAGCAGGTGAACCAATTAGTGGTATATTGGGTTGATCTTCTTTCAGTGACTCTTACTAGGTTGTAGCCTAACACTGGCTGGGTTCCTGATTATTTCTAGCTGGTGTGAGGTCAAGGACAATCTTTTCATTAATTTGACCTG